AACGAATTTAATCCGTTCCGGCACCGAGCTCGCCGTGTGAAAGGCTCGTCTTGTGAAGACTAGCTAATCAAACTACATCAGTTCACTGATTGGCTGCGGACGGCTGATGACCCACGCTCTAGAGGCTGCGGATACAGGCACAAGCACACGCATTGACAACTCGTTAGCTGGGCGCAAGCTCATCAATCGAAACAATGTTTCTGCTAGTGTCTTGCTCGTTACTTGAAATGCTTGAATATGGGGCTGATCGTCACCCGAGACTCCGCTGTACCGAGAAAGATACTCAATTCGGGGTTGTTAATCGAGCGGGCGTGCCTTGAGAACTGACCTACTACAGTTTTAATAGCCTCGGTTCGGAATCTTTAGACGCATATGCTCAGCTTTTGTTTATCATCCAACAAGAATTTATTTATCACGCCTTTGAGAGGCAAGCTATAGGGGGCCACATAAGTCATATCAAATAAAAGTAAATTATTTGGAACATGTCAAGCAGTTCAATTTCCCAGATCAAACGAGACCTCAATATCTAATGATAGATATCAAAGAATAATTGTTATGGGTTGAAAGCAAATCGATGTCCTCAGATTTCTTTAAAATTAATTCTCTTATCGACACGACAAAGATTGAGCTATGAGGGCATTGAGGGAACTTTAGCTCGATTCATTTGCTGCTGACCCATCGGTTGGAGCTGCTTAACAAATCACTGACGAGGTCGGAGGCCCGCAACCGATGCTATCTTCTTCGGTCCAAGCAAGATCAACAAAAAGGACCCGTGAGTCAATGACAGAGCGTTGGACGAATTGACACTCGATAAACAAAGAAGTCTGGTTCGAGTCGCTAGTCCCATAAACTTGTGATTGGGTATGTGACTACTAATTCAGAAATGGTCGCTTTCGCCTTCCTAGTCTTTTGATGTAACACGTTTTTTGCAAACCAAGATAAGTCAGAAAGATGGCAGATACCGTTTTGAAACATTATCCACCGTCAGCTAGGTGTTATGCTGTAAAGTTCAGGCACAAAGGCAGTCTGCTTAAAGCCTGCCGCAACATTATATAACAAAAAGTATGTGGCTTCTGATCACATGGTCTTGTGTGTTGACCACCGCCGCCGCCGGGCTCGTTGTGTGGCGCAGATTAGTCAATAACTCAAAAACACCTAAAGCCCGTCGTTGTTGACAACGTGCTGCAATCTCATAAGCACATACAGACGCTTCGGGATTGTAGAAATCAAACAGGAATAATATGTGCAGCCCACAATCCGCACGACGCAAGAACCGCCAACTCCTCTCCGAATGCGTTATGACGAAGACTACAAAAAAACACGAATAATCCTACTAGGCACTAGGATCAGGAAGAGTATAATGCATGGGAGACCGAACATTAGCAGAAACTCCTATCAGTTGTAGATGCATGTCATTAAATCGATGACCACAGAGCACTGAGAAACAAGACTGACGCCGGGTCAATATGAAAGCAGCAGGAGGAGTATGAGAGACAAGGCAGATGGAACGCACTTGCATCGAAAAGTTGGCTCCAACACCTTGAAGACGCGACCACATGGGGTGCGCACTTTCGGGCAAACGTCGGTCAGATGGGCGTTGAGAGTAGCCAGGGAGTCCGCATGGGCCTGCTCGGGAATTGTATTGGCGACGGCCACGTTGGTAGCGGTAGCGGAGGCTGCAGCTTTCGCTGGCTTCTCACAATTTGCACGCGCCAGAAAGGCCTCAAAGTCGGAAAAAAGTGAGTTGAGCAGGGTGTTGTACTCTAGGAGCTCAGCATCACTAGATGTCTCATTGGTACTGCGACTGAGAGAGGTTGCCTCCTCCGCGGTTGCCACCTTTGGTTGGCACACTGCGAGTGCCACTTCTCGAATGCGTTCGTAGAGGATCTTCTCAAAGGCCAGCCGGTCTGATGCAGTGTAAGCGTCCTCAAGGCCCTGGGATGCGGGGAAGGAGATGAAGGCGGGGGAAGGAATTGTCGAAGAACAACAACATTTTCGGCCACAACAACGTAACCGAGCTCTAAGAAGGTTAAATTGCAAGATATGTGCCCAACCTGCACAGACGTCCACACATTTCCAGATCCAGCCCCAAAAGACAACTCTAGGAGCATGTGCCGTAACTGGCTCGGTGCATGTACACAACGTAAATGCCAAAGAGCGATTAGGGCAATCGACAGTCCTACTAAATAAAAAAGACCTTTCAAGAAATGTTGGACATTTCACACTAATGGAAGCTGCCAATTTTTGTCACTAAGATGTCCTGACAATAAGGTTGACAAACAATAGAAAGTCGAAAAAACTCGAATAGTGATGCCTAACTGAGAAAAGATACCAGCATAACGATGCCAGAAACACGAGGTTTTATGGCCTTCCAAAATTTAACAAAGCAAAAATCCCTTCGCGGTCAGCTGCATCTTAAACAGGAACTTCTAACTTTCTATCTGGAGAAGTGACAACTCGAGCAGCTTTGTTTTCTAACCCAGAGAAATTGTTCTACTGGACTTAACAATTCTTATAAAAAGAACATGGAGTTTAAGGTGACTTTGCACTTCACAAGGAATCAGGCAGGCGGCTCAACACAAAGCTACTCGTCGACTGACGGCTGACGCGTTGACTGATGACCTTCTACCCTTCCATGGGGCAGGGGCCGGACGAATAAAAAGTATTCTGATCGAGCCGTT